TTCACTCGCACATCACCCCTCCCTGCCCAATCCATTACATCCCAACCCTGGTGTTCCACCAGCGAAACACTGTCCACCCTGGTCGTACAGGGCTACAGCACCACAATATAATAGATGGTTATTATCACCATTTTTGTCTCTGGGTCATCTTCGTTCTTCGGTCATTTCGTATCGTCTCATTTTCGACTTATTCAAATCAAAAGTCATTTTGTCTTTTGCCTGTTTTTCATCTTATCATTTACTTCTGACGGTGCCAATGCACCCATCCAATTCTGACCTTTCATTTTTGATTAACAAATGTCAGGCCTGACACACACAAAACTCACTGACAAAAGGGAAATTGAGAGAATTTGATAAAAGCAAATTTTGGGAGGAGATTCATCATGTGCAGGCAAAGACAGAGTTAGAAAAATTTTCACAGGTGGAGAAAGGTGGGGAGGTATCTAAACTTGGTCAGATATTATATATGGATAATAACAGATGCCATTTTGATTCCACCGCCGGGATTACGACATACAGCCCATTGATCTACATCAGCAGCTGGATTGTTGGGATGTGGTCGTGGGAAGCGCTATTTGGTTAAGGTACATGTGTCCCGGCTGAATGTGGTTTGCCCCGCCCTGAGGTGGGGATGGTATTTTGTGGGTCCATCCCAAGAAATCCGTGATGTTCGGGTGTAACAACCAGCAGGTTGTGTATAGGAAGACAAATGGAAGCTCAAATTATTGCTACCTGAGTACAGACACCACTGGTACTGGTGGGGTTTTTCCAAAAACCGATGTACAGAAATAGGATGTTTGGCTAACGGCCCAGAGAATGTACACAGAAACACAGAAGAAACAGAAACAGAAGACTGAAGAAGGAGGTGGCCATTTAGCCCTTCGAGCCTGCTCCACCATTCATCACAATCATGGCTGATCATCCAATTCAATAGCCTGATCCTGCTTTCTCCACATAACCTTGGATCTCATTCACTCCAAGTGCTATATCTAGCTGCCTCTTGAATACATTCAATGTTTTGGCTTCAATTACTTCCTGTGGTAATGAATTCCATAGGCTCACCACTCTTTGGGTGAAGAACTGCCTTGTCATCTCCATCCTAAATGGTCTAGACTTTGACCCCTGTTGAGAAAGAGAGACGACTTCGAACAAATATCAGCAGACGAAAGTAGTAATTGTTTGCTCCTACCCCACTTATTCAAATGAACATGCCTTATGGGGTTTTCAGGCAAACGTGATCTCAATTGAACCGTAGAGTTTCAGGGCCTGAACAGAGACATCACCAGGGTTGTTTATAGGGGAAAGGGAGAAGACTGCATCAGATCTTCGATAAAACAATATCAGTATGGGACTTTCAAACGTAACATCCAAAACACCACTCCTAGTATTAGCCTAATTGAGCTCACAGATATTCATAGGAGGAGTGAGATCTTTGTCAATGTCAATGACAAACTCAGACAAACTTTAGGGGATTATTGGGAGACCTACAAAAAAAAAAATCACAGCAGGTTGTCACAGAATCCCTAGAGTGTGGAAGCAGGCCATTCGGCCTATCGATTTACATCGATCTTCAGAACAGCTTCCCACCCAGACGTATCCCCTACCCTATTCCTGTAACCCTGCATTCCCCACAGTTAATCAACCTAACCTGCACATCCCTGAACACTGTGGGAAATTTAGCATGGCGAATCCACCTAACTGGCAGATCTTTGGACTGTGGGAAGAAACCAGGAGACCGATGCAGACACAGGGAGAATGTGCAAACTCCACACAGACAGTCGCCCGACTGTGGAATCGAACCCAGGTCCCCGGCATTGTGAGGCAGCAGTGCTAATCACTGTGCCACTGAATCGCCCCCTCCCAGACACAATTGCGCACATAAACCTTTTCCTACGTTACTCAGCGACAGAGCAAATTCAAAAGGGTATCAGGGCAATCAAAGTGACTAATTGCTGTGACTGGGGCTCAAATGTGCAGATATGCCCATGCGTACATCTCCTAACGTATCCACCTGTGTTGTTCATCCTGTTTACTTTCATCTACCTCACCGCCCTCACTGTTAAATTCATCCACTGGAAAGAACTCGTCCACAAACTATGAACTCGACACTTCTATAGTGGGAGCAAGAAATTAGTGAACCCTACTTGTCGTGAAAGGACTAAATAAATTGTCGTGTGACATGAATTTTCTCTATTGAGTGTTGCTAATCACCAAAGAGCTTGAAGGCAAGCCAGTGTATGTAAATAGCAGCTAATTATTAATTTATATATTAAGGTATTTGATTATAGTACTGTTAAGCCTATTGAGGTGTGTAAGGAAGATAGTATATAGGGTATTGTTGTCTACGTACAATGGGAAACAACAGTTACTCATGGAGTTAGGATGTCTGAGATTTGATAAGCACTTGCATGAGACAGCGTGGTCTGCGCCTGTGATCCCATTTTTCCTAGACATTTCAAGGGATTAGCAGGAAAGACTGTGGTTCAAGTGACCACAGGCCCAAAACTGAACATTCTAAATTGAGCCATAGCCAGCAGCTATTGGCTACAGAGAACAGTGGAAATCAAGGTCAAAGAAATCTCAAAGGCTCAGGGGGAACCAGTTACAACCACCTTGAGGCTTACTGACAGAGTACTTATCAGATGTTTTGGCATTTGGACTTCCAGCCAGTGCCTGAGGACATACATTTTACACCTCCCTGCATGGCAACAGTGAAGAGTGCTGGTGCAACCTTAGTGGGCGCTTTGAACACCTGCTCATGACCGCATTGGCCAGAGGCCATAAAACATTCTGGTAGGTCTGAAGCAAGGGGGGATAAGAACACAGACCTGGAAGCCACACCTCAGGCAGAAGATTGTGCTGCAACCCAACACGACTCAGGAGAAGATCTTTCCTGACCTCAAGACCTAAATTCGTGGAAGAGAGCCAGCCCTATGGAGAGGAAGGAGATTCCGACAGCCCAGCTCAAACACCTGGATCATTGTGTGTGACATGCTTTCTCAGACGGATAAAGCTACTTAGAGTAAATATTGTGGGAATTTGGAGAATGCTAATATGGTGTTTTTAATATAGGAATATTTTGTTAATAAAATCAAGTTGAACCACAACTGAATCCTGGTCCCTTTATCTGCCTCATTACAAGAGCACTTGGGGAAAGAAATGTATTTAATACATAAACTTCTTGAAGTATTAAAGCACAGACAAGAGAAGCCAAATGGCTTTCAGATCAATCTTAGTGATGCTTCTTGCCACTAATTTGCTGTGAAGATTCCAAACCTTTTGCTTTTATATTTGCACTAATTACTCCTTTCCTCATGCCATGTTTGATATACACTTTGGATTCTGCTTGACTGTCAATACGAGGACCCTTAACTGAGTCTACTCCAGTCCCAATGTCGCTACTCATCTCATATCTATCAGGTTTTCCTTGTGCTTATTTTCCATTCCGCTAGCTGTTTGATTAAGCCCTAACCCCATTGCAGATTGGAAAATTCTCCATCACTTTTGTGCCCACCTCAAATTACAGCTCCCCCACCTACATAAAAACATAACAGTTGTTAACGTACCTCCTCAAACACCAATGTTCTCAGCGCTAAACATTCATTCTTTGCTAAATCATAACTTATCCTGCCTCCAATTAAGTATTGTATGCATTGCTCGTGGGGTAATCTCTTCTGCACCAAGCAGGATTAATGCAGATTATATACTGCTTTACCAAACATGGTCAGCAAGTCCCAGGTCATCCTCCTGCGAGGTGGATTTGGAGGACCATTTAATCTAAGAGATTATTTGTGCCTCTTCCTGTAATGTAGTTAGTGTCATGTAAATAACCTCTACAGTATCAAATTTCAAAAATCAAGCAAAGAGTTTCATTGCAAAGCACTTGTAATAGTGGGAAATGGTTTCAAAAGCATCTCTGCCAAGATGTCAAATTTCTAATCCAGCTCACAGCTAACACTGAAGACCAGATAATTCACACAAGGGACAACTCAGAAGACAAGACACCCTCAGAGACATTCTACTAGACCATTACCATACATCTTCAATACAGCATCAGTTGTGTTTGGTACAGTGAGAGAAAAGAAAAAAGCTTTTAAAATCAATTAATACAAATGTCGTTTTAAAATGTGTAGCTACTTGTGCTTTCTTTTGAGTGCTGAGAGGGGAGAGGAGCTTAATGAAAATGATGAAATTGACTTGTCCTTGCTTGAAAATTCATTAAACTTGGTAATCCATTATTAATATTTCCAAATAAAAACCGAAAGAACTATGGATGCTGTAAATCAGGAACAAAAACAAAGTTGCTGGAAAAGCTCAGCACGTCTGGCAGCATCTGTGAAGAAAA